AGTTCAAGCCCAGCCTGAACTGGAGAGCAAAACCATGTCTCAAAAAGATTAAAATAAATTATTGGATATTTGATAATCACAAAAGATTATGATGATCTTAATAATAAAGTGTTCTGACCAATTCAAACAATAGGAGTAGAAAGAAGACATTTCCTTCTAAACTATATCCCAGGGGGCTGGGGAGATAGCTACTCATTTTAAGGTTGATGAAGTCTGAGTTGTTTTTCATTGATGGTAAATCCTACTGGAAATATATCTAGTGAGATGTTGGGTCTTTTAAAAAGAGACTTATTTCTGTAAACTATGGAGTAGGAGATGAACTTAATTAGAGAAAAAGTGGCTGTCTAGCAGTTGGTAGAAGCAGTCTCCAGAATGTAGACCATATTGCGGATATAATTATTTTAGATGCTAACAAAAGAGAGAACATTTTGAGAACTCTAGGAACCAGATTTTAGTTGTTAACAGTAGGACATCGTGCCCTGAATTCCACATTCACTGAATGGGCTTCCATGAAAATATTCTCCTTCATTCTTCACATACTTGTGGATCAGCCGCCCCTGGGTATCCTGGAAAAACGTTGTCACTTAGCCAGTGAATTTGGACAGGTAATTTAGATAACTTCCACACTCAAGTATTGTTTTTCAGTAGACAGATACAGTTAGCTTGTTTTTGCTTAAATTAACCAAATGAATAACAAAATCTATGTTTCAATGTGCCACCACAGACAGACTAAAGAAGTACAATTCATAGAGGAAAATCCCGGTTATTTCACAGAGCTTGTCTCTAGCCCAGACCCCGAAGACTACATCAACTCATGACTTCTTTATGCCACAGTTTTATATCCTTTATGAAAAGATGCATTTTTATAATAAGGCTCTTGTGAAACACCTCTACAGGCCCCTCCATACCACTTAATAGCGCCACAGAGAGCGTCCCTGTGTGTTCACAAGGGAGCATAAACTTCAGGAAGCTTGGGGGCAGGAGCCAGGTCTGTCCTGGAGCTGGCAGCATGTGGTGCCCTGGGGAGGAGAGGGGCCAGCTGCTGCGGGCTGCTGGGGATGCACGGGGTCACTGCACCCGCAGACACTGCCCCTGGGAAGAGTGAGCAGGAGAAAGTGGCCACAGTCTTCCCAAACAAATCACAGAGCCGCAGTGTCCACTGGGAATCTCCCATTGTAGGCTAACAGCCTTTGGAGTGGGAGGAATGAGTGTGTAGAATTCTTGCACTGCTCAAAAGGAAAAGGGGAGTAGGGAGGGGAGAGGGGAAAGGGAGGAAGGGAAGAGAAGGATGAAATGAAAACTGAACTTCTTGGGGGGGGGAAGGGTTTAAAAAGAGGGAATGGGAATAGGGAAGAAAAGAAGAATCAAGATAGATCACATAAAGGTGCAATTCCCTGTAAGGAATATGGTCATTATGTGGAGTTAAATTATACCAAGAAACTCAAAAAAAGAAAAAAAAAAAAAGTAAAATGTAGTTTTTGACTGATTAATTGCCAGACTGAATTCTTGGTACTAGGAAATCACTGACCTTGTTTCGGAGGTACCTAGGATTGAACCCAGAGTCACTGCACTGAGTTACTTTCCCAGCCCATTTATTTTTCCTTCTCTTTTTCTCCTTCATCTTCTTTCTTCTTCTCTCAGTGGCCAGTTTGCTCAGGCTGGGCTTGAATTTATAATCCTACCGCCTCAAGCTCCCAGAATGTTCAGATTACAGGCTGGTATCACCAGGCCTGGAGAAATGAAATGTATTTATTTAGAGACAAGGTCTTGCTGTACAGCTCAGGCTAACCTTGAACTCACCCCGTGGCCCAAGCTGACCTTGACCTCCTGGCCATCCTTCTGCTTTAGCCTCCTAAGTGCTAGGATTGTAGGTGGTTGCCACCACACCCAGATATGGGATTTAAAAAAAAAACAAAACAAAAAAAAAACAACAACTGTGATATTGGAGAGTGGAACTGAACAAATGGCATTATGGTTTTAGTAAGTGACGCTTCTTTCATTTGGCTCTTTATGTCATTAAAGGGAGTCATGTTTTTGACTGTTGAGGGCCTTAAGAAGTAAGGTATTGCAATAAAATGGATTAGAACTAAAGTATTCAATGCTGTAGTATTAGGCACAAATCTTCTTTAACTATAAAATAATCCTTTGTATTGAAGGGAAACCTAAACAAGAATTCTCTGAGAGGCAAACTTTAGTTTCATGTTCTGAGCCAAGTTACCAAGCAGACAATAGAGGAACAAAAGCCCTTTGGAGAAATCTGGTTGAGGTCTCAGGTAATTAGAACTGGTTCATATTTCAATTGTAGAATAGACACAACTGAGCCACACTGAGAAACATCGAAAGGCGCACAAGAAATCCGTAACACTAGAAATTCAGCTTGTCTCCACAGAAGCAATTAAAGTCTCAAAAATTGCTTCTGGGCTGGCCAAATAGCTCAGCAGATTAAAGTGCCTGTAAGCAGGTGCAGGGACCAGGAGTTCGATCCCTGGGCATGCTGTGCAGGCCCTGCCCCTGGGGCATGCTGACACAGCAATTGAGACTGAGTGTGGTGGCGTGCGCCTATAATCCCAGCTCTTGGGAGGCTGCAAACAGGAGAATCACTATAAATCTGATCTAGTAGTGAGACCCTGAACACCCTGTAGACCCTTCCCTTAAAAAAAAAAAAATTACTTCTGTATCTGAAGTGGAACAGAAAGTGCCAATGGTTTGAAACAAATTCTTGTGGAATGAACGTGTTTAATGAAATTCATTTTTGGAATATTAAACTCATGAACTAGGTCCCAAGGATTTGGCATCAGAGCCTACTCTCAGCCATCTAGTCACCATTTTCAGTTAAATGTCACCAAGACACCCTGGGTTATACAGGTTCAAGGCTGAACCCTGGTTTTCCCGAGCTCTGGTTCTCCTTAGTGTTTCCTGTCCCAGCAAATGGTAATGTACTTACAATCTAGGATGAAAAGGCTACAGAGGCCTTGGTGAAAACTGGAGAGCTACATGGGAAATATGTTTTAGCCATGGTAAATGAAGTTGGGACATGCAGGTAGAATACCGTGGACAATAGAAGTTAGGGATCCAGGGAGATGAATTAGGGAAATGGATTTGGGAGGCATCTACAGAGAATGGATGTGGTTAGAGGAGACAGGCAAACACCTGAGACAAAAACATAGAAGGTAGAAGGGAAAGGATGCAGAAAAGCATGTTGTCCACCACAGTCAAAGGGAGCTTACTGAGGAAAGAATTTCAGTGGATGAAGAATGAAATGAAGCCACTGGATTCGATGACCTTTAGAATTTTCACAAATGTGATGAGAGTAGAAGTTATAGTAGTTATGAATACTTGTGTGAGTGTTTCAGTCTTTGCTTCTAGCCTTTGCTTCTCCTTATGCAAGTTGTTAATGTCACTAGATCTCTGCTTTATTGTCTTTTTTCATGTATTTAGTAAAGGGTCAGGCAGGATCTACAGGTCTCACTACACAGAATGGACTCGTAGTGACAGTGATCCTCCTGGTTTCAGCCTCCCAAGCACTGGGATTACAGGCATGCGCCACCACCCCTAGTCTTAATCGCTGTCTCAGTGCGCCCTGTGGGAGAGGCCAGCATGGCACGGCAGGGATTGAACACTGGCCGCTGTGCTCTGCCTAAACAGGTGCTTTAGTCCATTGTATTGTCTTTTTTTTTTTTTTTTTTTTTTTTGAGACAACATTGCGGGCCTTGAACTCACATGTAACCGAGGCTGTTCTGAAACTCCATGTAACCTTCCTGTCTCAGCCTCCTGAATGCTGGGATTAGAGGTGGGCACCACCATGCCCATTCCATAAGTATATTCATCTGGGTTCTCAGAGGTTGAAGTAAACATTTTCAGCGACTGAGCACAGCCTCTGCGGCCCACCCCGTTGGTGGCACTAGGGATGGAAGCCAGCACCACACACCTGCTAAGCTGGGGCTCTGCGCTCTCAGCTCGCTCAGTGAATAAAAGAATAAATGAGTAAAACTCTGCATGCTTCTTGTCAGACACACAGATAGGGAGATGCAGTTAGGACTGGCCGCTGGCCTCAAGATGTCTTGCTGCAGAAGGAAGAAATTGAGGATCTGAGGGAGCCGGAGGATCAGGGAGAGGATTTTCAAGGTGACAAAGACAGCTTTTTCGGGTTTTTGTTTTTATCCTGTAATGCTATAAGGTACAAGAGATCCTTGGCACTGGATTTTCTGATACTAATTTTCATTTAGACTTTTTGGGAACATATGTGACAAACAGTTCTTCTCAGTAGGAAGATTTTTTCAACCCCTTGATGGTATTTATTAAATCATAGCACTGGTGAGATTAGAATTTAAGAAGGGACAAGGAACAAAGCATGTTGAAAATTCACTGTTGTCTTTAGTCGTTATAGATGCATTGTTAATTTTTTTTCAACAGATTTGACCTGAAAAAGTGACTCATTTTTGAGACTGCATAGCAACTTTGAAGAGGGGAAGGTGAGCGGGGCATACAGGGCTGGCCAATAATTGCTTGAACTTAAGTCTCGAGTCTGAATATCTAGGGCGAAGAACTGTGAAAGGCCAACACCAAGTCCCACGCCAATCCACAGAGGCTAAGGGTATAAACTTAGTATCAGACAACTGGGTATGTCATATAACCTTTCAGATCATGTCTTCTCTTTTAATTTTTCCTCTAGAAGTCATTTATGCATGTGAGTTATTTATAGGTTGTAGCACATAGTGTTACATTTATACAATCATTTCTCTTCTGGCATCTATACATTAACAAAGGCCAGAGGGTGTGTTCTCAGTGGAAAGCCTTCTGATTACCACTCCAACTGCAAATTGTGTTAGCTGACACCTGCATGAAGCTGTTCTCCAGGTAAGCTGATGGCACTCAGTAAAAATTCTCTGATTTCCACCAGAAAGACCCACCTATGTTTTCTAAATCTGCAATAGGAGCAAGGGGCATATGAAATCGCTAAAAAAGAAAACCATTTTTAACACCCAGCACGCATCCCAGCATTTAAATTAGAATTTTACTTTATTTCAGGATAAGTGTACAGTTCAAAAAGGATTATTTACTAAAGCCACAATGTTATTCATACAGACAAAACTGTTATAGCAAAACCTGGGCACGTGGCATTATTCATTTGAACACTGTATAGGTATAGAAGATCCTTAAACATGGAAAATATCCCAGCTGCTGTCACAGGCACAGTACATATGCTTGGGTTGATTCTGCAAGCATTCTACTACATTTCATCACATGTGACCCAAGAAGTCACAGACTTTTCAGCGCTAGGTACTGAAAAGACACAAAGGAATAGCATAGTTACTCAGATTGAACAAGCGTGGACTACCAAGATCATAAACCAGGAGCAGCAAGCCAAAGAGACAACTAATTCTGTGAGTTTTAGAAGAAGGAATACATCTATGGCTTTTCCATGTCTGCTTTTGAGACTAGTTAGCAAATCTGGCAAGTGAAAAAGAAGAAATTATTCTATAATAAACATGAAAGACATCGTAGACAAGGCATCTCATATTTCACAGGTTCAGAACTGGAAAACAAAAATTCAGCTGTTCTTAAGAGTTAACTTGTGAGGTATAATATGGCAAAAAATGGCTTCCTCCCATCTATCTTTTGGCATAAAATATGCAAAAAAAGTAAGAGCTTTTAGGTGAAATGGTGGAAAAGTGTTTAGAATGAACAATTAGAATAAAGCAACCGTAAGATGGACAACTAGAATGCAGTTTCGTTCTTTAGTAACTATGTACGTCTCCCAAGGACCAAGAAACGGGATTTGGTCCTTCCATGGAATTTTTTAAATTTATGTTTCTTAATAGCGTGACTGAATTCTTTATTCGTGCTGACAGTGTGTCCACGCTGATAACAGTGAACATGTAGAAAGAAACCCATACATTTTTTTCAAGGCAATTTCACTTTGAAATTGTCTACAAGGTAAAAATGTACACAGGTTCGCAAAGGTTTTTTTTCAGCTAGCAACTAAACGTAAGTGTGAAGGCAGACCATGCAGCGCTCTTCCCTATATATTACTGTGTTATAACACGAAGGGAACAGAATTTTTTTCCTTTTTCCTTTAAATCTGTAGTGCTCACAAGTTATCATGTAGAACTAAAATCACACACAAAGGCAGATCATGAAGAAATGTTAAATATTTCAAAACACCTGCAGAAGTGAGCCAGAAACGACACTGTTTCTACAGCACACAACTGTTGGAGGCTTAAACTAAAGCATAGGTGCTACCAGATCCTCTAGTCTAGCTCTTGGCTGCTGCTTGTTTCTGTTTGGTTGCAGACCCTTGGCTGGAGGTCTTCGGGTTGTCTGGAGCTTAGGCCATAATTTCTGCAGGCTCAGTGATCAACTTGGTTCCGTCCCAGGTTGTCTTGAATTGTTCAGGAACAGGGAATTCTCTCTGGAATAAAGGCAAGAAGAACAGGATCTCCATACAGGGTTTTGCTGAGACGTGGTGGGCATAGCAATCTGAACCAACCCAAACCTGTACCACGGAGGGCTCCTTGTCACGTGGGGATTGGCATGTGCCACATGTCTGTTGGGAGAATGCCCTCAGTATCATCATTGATGCTGGCATTTACTGAGAACAGTCATTCTGCAAAGCCCTGGACATCACACACTCAGCTGATCTTCTGAAAGCCTAGCAGCCTGGAGTGACAGGGATGCTGTCTGCAGGGAGTAGATGTCCTACAGTGACAATGCTACCTGGCAGAGCAGAGTCCAGCCAGAGCAGTCTGTCTCAGGCACTGCTTTCCATCAAACCTGAACACACATGTCAATTAACCGTGGATCTGATTACAGGACACAGATTTTCCCACTTCCCAGTGAAAATGTGCATGGCCTCTCTCACCTGTAGGCCTACTATGCATGTAAACACGCAAAGGACCACGGGCCAGCCAGAGCAGCAGTACTCTGGGCTCTTCTTTCCCTGGACAGAGTCTCATTCTCTAGGTATTTGCATGGAGGAGGGAAGGGGAGGCTGAGGCACAGTGCCTTGGGCACCGATCTGGAGCCTGCCTGGCCTTCCCGGCCCTGCTGTGCACTCTGAGGTGCCACGTGTGTGCTAAGTGATGCCGCTGCTCATGAGACGTGACACTTCCCTGGCATGCACACAGGAGTACCTGTCTTCCTAGAGGCGTCATCCAACGCTTTCTTTGGGAAGAAGTGATTGATTTATTGCTGCAATAAGCAATGAATTCCCCCTGAGTGAGATCGGCAATGGAAAAATCTTAAAGAAGCTACACTATTAATAATGTGCACATGCATGCGTGCGTGCGCGCGTGTGTGTGTTGTGTGTCTATGCACGTGTGTGTTCACCTAACATCATGCTAGGGCTCTCCTTGGTGAGAAAACAAAGCTTAGTGTTTATTCTCAGGCTTCGAATGCCCGAGACAGGGGCTCGCTTGGACTGGAATGTACGACAGCTGTTCCCCACTCTTGGGCAGTGAGGAGGTAGTAATCCGATGACGGATCTTCTCTGGGAGGCTGATGTCGTTCAGGAAGAATTATGCTTCCCATCGATCCTCAATTACAATGCCCATCGCAGGGCCTCTGTATCCCTTCCCACCTCCACCTGGAGAATGCTAGAAGAGGGCCAGAGACTGAGTAGAGAAGGTCATTTACCTATCAATGCAAAATGTTTCTTTCAGCACAAAGCTCGGGCCTTGCTTATTCATCTACTAGGCTAAAGGATCTCAATCCTGGCTTCACACTGGGCTTGCAAGGAAAGCCTTAGAAACTACAACTATCTGGGTTGCCTGCTGAGCTGGCTGAGCTTCATCATTCTCGAGCACTCATCCAAACCTCACTTCTTTACTTAGCAGACCCAATTCTCTGGAAGCTGTGCTTTCTGCTTAAACAGCTGCAGGGGCGAGGGCCACCTGGGTTCGGCTCCACTACCCTGAAGCCCTGTTCTAAAGGTATAGCTGGACTCTCCTATAGCTCAGGGGCAGGCTTCCATATCCTAAGGGGTGAAGCGTGCCCCAGTGCTTACAGAGTTTTGTGTTACAAGCTGAAATGATGACTTCCAGCCTGCCATATGTAGGGCAGAGCTGGGCAGAGCTGCAGAACTTCCTGCAGGTGGGGAAAGGAGCACACGGCAGCAGTCACATCGTGCGCCAAGGAGATCTGCCAGCCTGCTACAGATGCTGCGTGGACCTCTGGTGACTGGTCTCCCAGGCTAATGGGACTCTTCCTCGAAAGATTCGTCTGCTGAATTACAATTTCTTTCTTTTTCTAAAGACAGGGCTGCACTATGTATTATAGGCTGGTCTTGAACTCATTGTGGAGCCCAGGCTGGCCTCAAACTTTCAGAAACCCTCCTGCCTCAGCCTCCCAAGTGCTGGGACTGCAGGTGTGCACCACCACACCCAGCTGTCACACTTTCTTTTGCTCTTTGCTGGTTTACTAGCAGTAAGAGGAAATCATCTCTGTATTTATTTCCCTACCTCCAAGTAACAGTAGCTAGCTAATCCACCATACTGATGATCCAGAAAATGTTACAGATTTAATTGTATTCCCTTTTCAGCGTGTGAGAATATTTGTGCGATTTTTATCCAAGCTACTTTGAGGGTGGCAAAATCACTTAGGCTAATATTTCTCAGAACGGCCCGATGGACTGATAACATTGGAATCACTTGAGATGCCTATGAAGACCCAAGACCACTGGCCCCCTGACCGACCCCAAATCCAATCTTTCGGTGCATCTTTCAGCGCTGGCCTGTGTCTCCACCTCCCCAGCTGACTCTGAGCATCGGTGGGCATCGCCGATTTGAGGGTACCAATGCATTTAGCTAGTCTACTTGGACTTCCCTCTCCTCCTTTCCATTTCCCCCTCAAGTATTCCTCCTTTTTTCTTGCTTATTTCCGTTGCCACAAAGGGAAATATTTAGTCCTATGAATTCAGTGCACGCTGTGCTGTTCAATAAAAGGTAGCCCGGGAAAGTGGTGATTAGTAAGCTGCCCTGAGAATCGCCAGCCCCGGAGCGGGAGCGGGAGCGGGCAGAGTGGGGAAGTCAGCAGGTGCGAGGAACTCCTACCTTCCTCTCCTGCCTGAGAATCCTTCTACCAGAAAAGTCCCAGGCTGGGAGGGGATGGCTCAGTCTCTAAGAGTGTTCACAAAGAAGGCCCTAAAACATCTGGAAGGCACTTACGTAGTCGCCATCCTGAGGGATGAGCACGTTCATCTCCGATGACTTGGCGCTCACGATCTCACAGCCTAACGCATCTTCGCTGAGGTATATGTGGCAACCGTCCGTCTTATTAATGGAGATTGTTGGCGCGCTTCCCATGACCTGAATGAGAAACAACAAAACAAAACAAAAACTGGGACCAAAGTAAAGAAATAGAGATGACAAGGTTCCCGAACGCATGCAGCCTCGATTCCTCTTGGATTCCTTTAGTTTGTGCTTAACCAAGCGTTAGGAATTGCTGAGTCTGAGCTGGGGGAGTGATTAATGGCTGTCTCTTCGGGCTGCTGAGTAGAGCAGGTGTCATTTGGGGATAGAACGAAAGGACCACACGGGGATTCTTAAACCATGGAGGTGTTTTTCCTGAGACAGAAATTAAGGGATTAATTTGGAAACAGCAGCTAAATGTTCAAAAAAAGCCTCCTAACCCCCTCTGTGGAATTGAAATATATATTTGATTTCCTGATAAAAGAAACAAGACACATTTACTTTTATTGGCTTAAAATTGCAGTTTTGACAAGTATCTGTGAAAGTGGGATTGAAACAAGCCCCGATGCTGACATTTAAGAGTAAGGCCATTCTTAAGTGAAAAACAAAACAAAACAAAACACCAAAACTAAAATGAGAGGCTTGCTCTTGAAGTTGAGAGTAAGTAAGAAAACACTAAAATTCTTTTCAGTAAAGGTTTTTGCCAGATAAAAATCTCATTGGCTGAATCCAACGTTTGTTTACGAGAGATGAGTGTCTAGGTATTTTGAAGTGTATTCCTTTCAGGGGCCAAACCTGGAGGCTTAATTCAGGACACATATTATATAGAAAAACAGAACAGAACAAAAGAGGGGGCCCTTCTTTGTATTGTTTACAAATATCGAAGTGTTGCAAACATTCTGATTGGTTTTAAATTTCTTCTCTCACAATCAGTTTTCAGTAATTCTCCCCAAATCTCCACAGGGACAGACCTTTCCTGCGAGGACCATATTACAACTCCATAATTTTCCTTCTTGTAATGGTAATTAATGTGATAAAGACATCTCTCCTTTCTTTCTGAAGAAAAGACTAGTTTTGAGCCAAAGGAGCAATTCCTGTTGATGGGGCAGGTGGTGTAAAGAATTCCTCGGGGGCATCTAGCCAGGTCACCATACTTCTGTTTTCTCTCTCCATGGAAACTAGACACTGAGCTTGAGGGTAAGTATGAGCTGAGTTGGAACTGAGTTGGAACCGAACTCCAAGGCCAAAAAACAAAAAAGGCAGAGGTAGTTCAAGGTCAGGTAAGCAGTTGCGCTCTGCCACAAATAAATAAAAGAATAATAGATGTATTTGCATTTTAAAAATGTGTCTGTGGTAACATTTTGGTCATTCCTAGATTTGCTTATTTTATGAAGATGAACATTTCTAACCTCTTTATCAGAACCATACAAATACCAGGCAAGTGAAGTGAAGAGATGAATTGCCAGTGACTTGTAGGGGATTTATGAACAGAACACACAAGGCAAGCACATTATGACAACATGCTGTAGCTGTGTTTAAATCTCACTAAATTATGTTAAAACTGTGGAGGCGCCCTGTGTATCTGGAAAGACAGTGGTAACAATGACAAAATAGCCCTGGTATGTTAAGAATTGCGATTCCCATGGCCCTATGGCCGATGCTCTTTCGCGTGTACCATACATGTCCGTCTTCCCTGGTATTCTGTGGAGACTCTGAGAACAGATGTGCTCCTTAGCAGCAGAGACAGACCAAAGAGCTCCTTCACCGAACAGCAGGCGGCATGTCAGACTCCCCAGGCAATGTTCTCGCATTTAAAACCCATCTCTGGATTGATATAATGTATTTTTCAGCGATACGGATGAACCTACATCCTCATGTTAAGCATAGGGTCTAAAACGGAGCTATCTCATCAGCCTGATGCTATTTTCCATGGATTTATTTCTCCACAGAATTTTAAAATAATTTCCACTGACTAGTTTCTTCTTTTCCCCATACTTTGTATATTTTCTAAGGCAATCTGCCAAAATTGGACGAGTAGGCGAAATCATAGGAACTCTAGTTCATGTCTTTTATTTCTCCCTTTCGGTTTTTTGACAGCACTCAGATAAAATCTGCAAACACAAAAGCCCACCAATTTTTTTTGTGTGTGTGTGACCAGCTCATCCCATCCTAGGAGTGGGGCTAGTGGTGCTGGGGATCGAACCTTGGTCCCTGTACTTGTCTAAGCTTGCCTAAGCAGGCGCTTTAGACCACTGAGCTATCTCGCTGGCCCAAACCCACCAATTTTAAGCATACAATTCAATGATATTTAATAAATTTACATAGTTGTGCCCACATCACTATATCACTACAGCTCGCCTTTGGAATATTTGCATCGTCCAAAAAATATCCCTAATTGCCACTTACAATCAACCCCCAGCCTCAGCCCCAGGCCACCACCTCCGACCTGCTTTCTGTTTCTAGTGTGCCCTGGCCCTTTGGAGACAAGTCATTGAGTATTTCAATCAGTGATTCTTTCCACCTGGTTGGAACATCCGAACGTTTGCCAGGTATTCATCTAACATTTCTGAGCTGTGCTCTTGGGCTCCTATCTGTCCTTTGTGGGACACCACAGCCCATCTTTGCAGACAGCATTTTGTAAAATGTGTGTCCATATTCTGAAAAATATATTTCAAACACAGAAATGTACAAAAAGCAATATAACAAAAGCATACTAAATATGTACTCACCAACAGTGTTATCACAGTATTAAGTTTTGTCTTATTTCTTTTTTGACTTAATTTGATTTTTTTAAGGATTAAAATCTGACAATATCATTGGAGCACCTCCCATCCTCTACCTCACAGGACTCCCTTCCTCCCTCTCTCCTCTCTTTTCTTCCCTCCTGAGTCTGTAACTGCCTTTCTCAGTATTAGCTTAGGATGCTTTGGGCCTATCCAGTGGGCATGACGGTAGGAAGGTTGCCCCAAGCTCTCGCAAGTATAAGTAGTGTGTGTGTACTGTGGGGTTTTGCATTTCCTCCAATCTTTTAATAAAGGGACATAGAACACAGCCATTCTGTAATTTGCTTTTATTGTTCAATGTTGTTCTAGAAATTTAGATGTTATTTTAGAGATTACCTGTTTTTATATATGTAATGTAGTCTACTGATTTTAACCACTGTACAGCACTGTACTTGGAGGATGTGTTCATCTGTCAATTGGTGGACATGTAAGTTGCTTCCAGTGTTACTGCCATTATCAGTGATACTGTGATACATACTTTACATGTGTCCCACCTCTCCTCAGCACAGGCATTAGAGCCCTGCGATGTATATTCTGAAGAGCAGAGTGACTCAAGCTACAAATGCGACTTCATGAAGTGGTCTGGCTTTGCTTTGCAGTGCATGTAACAGAGTTGCTTTCCTCACTTCTGGGTGTGAGGGTTGCCACCGTCCTGTCTCCCTGACAACCCTGTACCATCAGACTAAACATACAGACACTGCTCAGCCTGCAGCTCCTGCCTGCATGCAATGCAGCTAACACGGCACCTTGCACAATAAGCACATTCTGAGTGTCAAACTGATGGCTGTGAAAAAATATTTTTAATTATAGTATTACTTTTAATTTCTACTTTTATTTGGTTATGCATATGAATACCTCAACTGCTTCATGTTTCTCTTTGAATTGCCTTAATTTTTTTTCACACTTTTCTATTAGATTTTTCTGTATTGATTTGTTTTAAGTTCTTTATATATGCAGGATACAAATCCTTTTTGAGTATCTGCATTGCAAGTGTCTTTCCTCCCCACTCTGCTTGCCTTTCAGCTTAGCAGATCATGTTTTCTGTTCAACATATGATTTCAAAGGGGTTAGATTAATTAGCTCTTGTCTTTATGGTACATGGCTTTTGACCCTAGGTGGTAATACAGTTTGCATCACTTGCACTCTGAGGGCATAAACATTTTCTTCTGTATGATACTGTCAAGCTATAAGAGTACAGAGTACTTTATTTCGCTTGATTCTCTTTCCCCACCTTTTACCTCTTGGTTTTCCCCTTTGCACAAGATCTGCTTCTTTACCATCGGTTGGTGAAGGTATAGGCTGCTTCCAAGTGTCTGCCGTGAAAGGTGCTACTATGAACATGAGCATGCTTCTATCACTGGAATAAGACAATTTTAACTCTTTTCGGAAGATACGTAGAAAGGGGATAGCTGAGTGAATGGAATCTCTTGTTCTTTTGAGGAAATACCATAATCATTTCCAGAGTGGTTGCACTGGCTTACTCTTCCTCCAACAATGTAGAAGGGTTCCTTTTTCTCTGCGCCCTAACCAGCACTTGATCTTGTTTGAATTCTTGGTGATAGCCACTCATGCTGGAGTAGGATGAAATCTCAGTGTTCATTTAATTTGCATTTCTCTAAGGGCCAGAGATATTGAGCATTTTTCATTTACTGCCTATTTCTACTTCTGAGACATGTCTGTTCATTTCAGTTGCCCATTTTTGATTTGATCTTTTGGGGAGGTCTAATGATTTTGAGTCCTTTATCTATTTTAGACACAAGTCCTGTATCTGAGGAATAACTAAAGTTTTTTTCTTTTTCTGCAGACTGGCTTTTTGCTTTGTTGGTTGTTTCCTTTTGCTGTGCAGAAGTTTTTAATTTGACATGATCCCATTTGTTGATTCTTGGTGCTGTTTCTTGTGTAATTGTTGTTCTGTTTAGAAAGTCCTTATTTATGTCTTCGAGAGTTTAACTTA